GTTTTCTAGTTTTTATATATATACATACTGTATATATCCATTTAAAACCACTGGTTGGATTCAAATGAAACTTTTAGCAAGTAACCATTGGAAGTTCATGTGCAACTGCTTAACTTTTGTAGCCTGTCCAAAGGTGGCCAGCCAAGTGACCTCAGAAAACACACGATTACAAATTGCTCAGTTTTACAGATAATGTGCTAAAATTTGATACGGTTGTAGCTGTAAGTCATCCTCACTACATACTCTCAAGTGTGCATAACGTTATTTTCAAAGTTTGCTCAAAACGACTATAACTCATCATAAGATAATCTTGATTTGGCATGAAGAGAAGTGGGCGATATGCATTCTTTTAAGAAAACCAGGCCTTAAATTTAATGCCGTTTGTTATGGTTAAGTAATACAATTGATAGTTCCTTTTGAAGGTTTCTCCCGTTGTTGTTTTCCCTTTCATCTGCTCACCTCGACACCCACCCCTGAGTTGTAGGTGTAAGCGTCAGCTCTTTGTTCCCAGCCCCGGCTGCAGGCAGGTCGGGCTGGATTCTGAAGTAGCTCGCTGTTTCTGCCGGAGCCAGCTGGAGCGCTGCCAAGCACAGCAGGAGTTTCTGTTCTCCTCTGTTTCATATTTACTTTACCGCCTTTACAGGGCAACTCGTGCAAGACCAGACAGACACACTGACACAGTCCTGTGAGTGTGTGTGTGTGTGTGTGTGTGTGTGTGTGTGTGTGTGTGCGCGCCCAGGACTCTCGTTCTACCCCACCTTCACTAAACTATAGTCCACACCTGGGCCCACTGGGCGGGATTTGATTCGGTTCCCACTACAAGGCAGATAGATCTCTGGGATCAGGTTGGGCTCAGACGGAGAGAGTTACACTCTGTCTGGGTTTGTGTGCACAGCTTACAGTAAATGTGTTGTCAAAGTGTGTGTGCTATATAAAAGCAGAGCAGGGTTACATGCTTAAATTACTGACGAGAATAGAATGACGTAGAAGAGGAAGTTTAGAAATAAAAACAAATGACTATATGAAGAAGTGAAATACCTGTGATGGATTAATGACGTGTCAGATTATTCTCAGTTTGAGGCTTCATCTTCAGATTCAAACCGAACTGGGTTACAGGTGAACCAAGGTCAGTGCCCGAGTGTTTGTTAATTAGGCAGTGTCTGTTTCCCTGAAGGCCGTGTCGCTCTTCCTCGTTCAGGAGGCTGTTTACGAAGTGGAGAAGTGACTCATGATGCTGCACGTTATCCAGGATATTTGACAAACTGTAATCCAAGAACAGGACAAACAAGCTGGAAGCTGATTCAGTTTACTGACATTGAGAAGCTTGCAATTAACATAACAGCAGGATTAAGACATTTGTGCAGGGATTAATATGGTTTAGCTGCAATCTCACATAAATAATAATTAATGAAATGAGTTTTATTAACTCCATATGATTGACAGGGAGGACTGCATTAGGCTCAATTAGCGCAGCAAATTTTAAAGTTTCAGTTTATTTAGTATCTATTTATCATTTCATCTATTTATCATTTTTTGAAAAGTCCAATAAATCTAGATTTTACGCACAATTGATCAAACGGTGACATCACTGGAACTGATGCGACTCTTGTGGTTTTGTTCAGGGCATCGTCAGAAGCTTGAGGACCCGCCCAAAGCAGGCCTGTTCTCGGACCGTCTCAGTGAGCTGGAGAGGATGAGGGTGAGGGTGACGGTGCCCACCCAAAGCCCCCGACCAACCCTCAACACAACGGCCAACTCCTTCAACCCACAGGGTCAAACGCAGATAACAGGTGAGCCCTCTACACAATAACACTTCCTTATAGAATGTAGRTTTACATTTCAAAACAATAAAATTACATCTACCTTTACTTGTTTCCCAGTTTAAAATTAAAGTTAAGATTGAATTGAAAATGCAAAGACAGTCAGTAGAAACAGTGTTTAAAGGAAAAAAGCAGGAAAAGTTATTTTAGGAATAAAATGGGAGTCAAAAACCAAACCAGTCAGAGTGCAAAGACCTTCAATATTGATATTTTCTGACTTTATATTTCAGCACTGGTTTTAAAAACAACATAATCGTTTTCGCACAGTCTGCAACTTTCATCTGAAGCTGTACCAAACCTGTAAAAATCATCTGATAGTTCCTAACACTTCAGACTGTGGGTATTATAGAATAATATTAATAATTAGGAACTATTTTTACAAAGTCGTGATGATTTGAGTCTTTTGAGGTCAACAGTACCATTTAGATATTTGAGGCTCTTATTGTGAAGGACTGAAGGAAGTTATGTGAGTTGATGCTGCTGTGGCAATAATAAACTAAACCTTAACATTATGATTTTAATTTAAAAACTTGGAAACAAAAAAAAATTTTTTGTGTGATACTAATAAACGGTTGTTTCATTCTACCTGATGGCCAACAGGGGGCAACTCTAGACGTTAAAAAGACATTAAAATGGAAAAAAGCTGTTCTAAGATTAGCGACTTTAGTAAATAAAGTAAAATAAAACAATTACACTGCCACTGACAATAATCTCAACTCCTTTTTTTGTGGTGGGTAAAAAAAAATCAACAGAGGTATATAAAAGAAATGACTAAGTAAAAGGGAAAATGCCTCTAGAGAAAATGACTTGGGGTAAGAATTTATTTCACTAAAGAAAAASTCATAAAAYGGCTCACAATAATTCTGGAAATTAAAAGCACTTTTAGATACACTGTAAGAAATGAAGTGTTGAATTTACTTAAACTGGTTCCATCAAGCAGAGATGGATAAATGCTGAGAAAATCTACTCAACTCAGTTTAGTGGACCCAGTTACCATAACTTTAACTAAATTCAACACTTCATTTTTTAGAGTTCATAAACAATTCCTTTCATGATGAGTTCAGTCATATTTAAATTTGTAAAGTGTAATTAAGTGTTAAACTTTAAAGTAAAGAAGGAAACGTATCCTTTTTATGTTTTGAATGTAATGAAATAAAAGTAAAAGTTACGATAAAAAATACTTTGTAAAATGACAAATCCTCAAAAAAATTACTTAAGTACGTAATGAAGTAAATGTACTTAGTTATACACCTCTGGAAATCTACTTTAAACTGTTGAGGGGCATGAAGAGCATGTTTTTATTTTCCACTTTTAACAGCGTGTAATTGTTGTAAAAATATTAAACTGTCAAAATGTTCAGTTCTGAACTAAATTTTAAAAAAAAATTTAAAAAGTCTTAATTTTTGTTATGTTTTTAGGCTTTTCTTTCTGAAAAAAAAACCCTCAGAAATTAATAAAGGTTTATTATCATTTTATGCTACACATTTTGTTTCACTTTTATTAGAGAAATAATGTAATTATATAAAATAAACACATATAATTTGAAAAGCATTTCCATTTAAACAAGGGGRAAAGAGTCTCGCAGCCAGCTGAGGACTTGCGTCACTCTAASAAGCGCTGGGGGGTTTCCTGACACACCGACACACACACACACACACACACACACACACACACACACACACACCCCACTCCCCACCGAACCCATGGGGCCGAGCCGCCGCGTTGCTTTTCCGCCACCGAGGTCGTCCGTCTGTTTTCTCCGTGCCGTCACTCAATCAATCCTCCATCCTTCAGACGGTAACACCATCTCTCACGCTCGGGCACGGCTGCCACCCGATCGCTCACAGATCTAAAGGCGCGTCACACGATGTGCTCATTTAACTCTTAGTTATTTTGAAGCCGGGGGAGTGGGGTGTGGGGATGGGGGGTGTCATTTGAGGCATGGTTAAACAGGCAGCAGCAGTGACAGAAACCTGTGATGGTTTGATTTCAGAATATTCCTGATAAAAAAAACTTTTTTTTTCACTATATCTAATCCTTATTTGTTACTTTTAGCTTCTGTTTCCTGCTAGTTCACGCAGTGACACAGTCCAGTGCTGTGGATCACTTTGCAAACTAAACGTAGCACAAAAAGTAAGTGAGTGTGTGTTTGGTAGATTATTTCTTTGTTGTAACAATGCTTCTTGGCAATAAATCTGATAGCAGACACCTGACTGGCAGCACCTGTGGGAGGGACCAGAAGCTCAAAACAAGTCGATAGCAACAGCAAAATTAGCTGTTTAGCAGAGATCTGACAAACCTTTCATGCTCCTCCTGCAAATGCATGTTCCTTACAAATGTGGCGCCATTTAAAAGGGAAATTTAAATGATTTATTACCAAGAAGCATTGTCACAACAAAGCGACAAAATAATCTACCAAACATGTATTCCCTGGCCTTTTGTGCTAAGTTTATTTGAGCTTTTATTTGAGTCTGCAGCACCTTTAAGAACTCACCCCACCCCCCCAGCCGTCCCCTCCCAGTCTCTGTGTTGTGTTTACACCGTTGCGCAGACACAATAACAGTCTGGCGTGGCGTGGTGTTTTTGCTGGCATGTTTACAGTCTGGATGAGCGCCAGCACGGCCCTCTGTGTGGAAGTGGTATGAGACAAACAGGTAAACATTAGATGGCTCATTATAGAGTGATACTTTAACACAGAGGTTCCCAAACTTTTTATCTTCTGACCCACAAAATATCCATGGCAAAAACTTGTGACCCCAAATATTACTGGTCTGAGTACACAAACTTCATTAATAACCCTAAAAACTCAGGCTTTTTGACAATCTAAACAGCTTGTACACAAATATAAATACTTATTTGCACTTATTTAGTGTTTTGGTAATAGTTATAGGGAAATTATTACATCAACAATTGTTTTATTACCCTTTAAATTGATTTCTGGAGATTATCCAAGGTGCTTCATGACCCATAATTGGGTCCCAAGCCCAACTTTGGGAACCAGAGTGCAGTGGTTCCCAAACTTTTCAGCTTTTGACCCACAAAATAACAGTARCAGAGACCTGTGCCYCCAGATATTTTTGGAGGATAAACATTTGTATCAGGTCAACTAAACATGAGCATAGTAACAATATTTTTTATACTACATTCATCCATTTTAAATATACTAACTTCACTCCGTTGTAACAACTAAGACAAAAATGTAATTAATTCAGAAAATCTTTTCCGGACCCCACCTTGATGTTTCGGGACCCCACTTTGGGTCCCGACCCCAACTTTGGGAAACACTGCTTTAACTGATACCTTATTGTATGTCTTCTCTACCAGTCAACGCAGCAGAGCAACTGAAACACAAAGAATGTCTCCAGCTGTTGTTAATGTCATTGTGAAGTTTGAGCTCCAGTGATTGGACCATCTGAACCCGCCTCTTTCTTCTCCTGTCCGTTTCCTTTTCCTTTTTTCTTTTCCTTCACCTCATCTCTCCCCATCAGACCCTCGTCAGTCCCAGTCCTCTCCTCCCTGGTCGTACGAACAGACGTACCCGTCCTACCTGAGTCCCATGGCGTCCCCCTCCGTGCACTCCACCACCCCCCTGTCCTCCAGCCGAGGCACGGGCCTGCCTGCCATCAGCGACGTGCCCCGACGATTGCCAGGTACTCCTTCCTCCACCTCATAGCCAGCCCACAAACCGTTCATCATCAGCGGGCTCCGAAACCGAGAGAGAGAGAAAAAAAGAAAACAAGACACCGAGAATTTCACACTCAGATTAAATTAACCGACGAGCTGCTGTTRTTATCCGCCTCTCAAATGACTGCGAGGACGGAGGCGAGCTGTCAGAGTCGGACTGTCTCTTCAAACGAGGTAGAAGAGGAAAGAACACAATCGTTTTACTGTTTTTGTTTGTTTTTRTCTTGCTCCTTTTGATCTCAGAAGAGTTGAGAGTAATAACAGGCTCGGGGATAATAACAGGGTCACAAATAAAGCATCTTCACAGCGATACGCCACTCTCTCAAGGCATTCTGGGTAACGGCAGCATCTATGTTCCAGTTTGTCTCGTCTATCCTCCCCTCCCGAGGCCGAAAGCTGAAAAAAGAAATCTACATGCCGCCAAACAAACCCCCTCCCCGCCGTCGTACACCTGTTTGACCCCGACCCAAATATTTTTTTTATTTCTTCCTTCTTTTTCTGTTTCCTTGTGCTAACACACTTCACCTTCCTCTGCCTTGTGTGAGTGTGAGTGTAGGCCTCGAGCAAGAGCGGGGGGGTGATTAAGCAATGCAGCCGTGTGACTCTGCATGAAGAAGGGGTTTAAAATCCAGCCAGCTGCCCTGTCAGCTCTGATTA